TGCCAACAGAGGGCTCGCTCTCCCCCAACAGCTCTTTCTACAGTCTCAAGGGTCTTCCTGGGTCTGCAGAAAAATAAAAAAGTGGGGGAGGAACCCTCAGGGAAGGTTGAATTCCCCCCCCCAAAAAAAACCCTTTTGAAATGGCCTCTGCAGGGATCTAACTCCAGGCATCAACAGTGAGAGATTAGAATGTTGAGGGGGGGGGCTTCTAACTGGCTCTGTCAGTAAAAGGGTGGGGGAAGGGCCCTTTCCAGGCCTCTAGCTGTGTCAGTAAAAGGGTGGGGGAAGGGCCCTTTCCAAGCCTCTTTTGGCCTTTGAGGGAGGGAGGGAGCCTTGGGGCCAGGCCTGACAAGGGTTGCCAGTGCCAGGCAGGGAAATTCCTAGAGGTTTTGTGGTAGACTCTCTGGAGGGCAGGATCTGGAGAAGGGAAAGGCCTCAGCTGGGTATAATGCCAGAGTCCACCCTCCAAAGCAGCCATTTTCTCCAGGGAGACAGATCTCTGCTGTCTAGAGTTCACACTTGGAGGTTGCCAACCCTAGGCCTGGCAGCAGTCTACGTTGCCAGGTCCCCCCGGGCACTGGCAGGGGATAGGGGGGAAGGTTGCCAGATCCAGGCTGGGAAACTCCTGGAGATTTGGGGGTGGACCCTGGGGAGGACAGGGACTTCAGTGGGATACAATGACATACAGTCCACCCTCCAGAGCATCCATTCTCTCCAGGGGAAGTTATCTCAGTAGTCTGGAGCTGAGCAGGAATTCCAGGGGATCCCCAGATCCCACCTGTAGGCTGGCATGACTTGCATGACTCAACTTGGCCCGGCTGCTTGCTTCTGTTCAGCAGCCACCCTATGAAAGCCAGTGTGGTGCAGCAGTTAGAGCTTCAGAGTAGGGTCTGCAAGACCCAGGTTCAGATCCCCATCTTGTGGTGGAAGCTGACTGGGTGATGTGACTGGTCCAAACTTTCAGCCTAACCAACTTCACGGGGTTGTTGTGCAGATAAAAAGGAGGTGAGAATAATGTAAGCTGCTTTGGTCCCCACTGTGGAGAAAGACTATTTTCCTAGGTAGAGGGTGTGGGGGAGGGGGGTGGAGACGGAAAGCTGAAAACAGATAAAGGTAGGTTGGCTGTTGGTTGGGAAGGAAATAGGTTTGCCAACTCCAGGTTGGAAAATTCCTGGACATTTGAGGGGTGGGGTTTGAGGAGGGGAGGAGCTTCAGACCAGTATAATGCCATAGACTCCACCCTCCAAACTAGCCATTTCCTCCATGAGAACTACCGTTGCCAGCCTCTGGGTGAGGGCTGGAGATCACCCAGAATTACAACTGTTGTCCAGGTGACAGAGATCAGTTCCCCTGGATAAAATGGCTGCTTTGGAGGGTTGAATCTATGGCATTTTACCCTACTGAGGCTGCTTGCCTCCCTAAGCCTCACTGTCTCGAGGCTCCACCCCCAGAAGGGAGCGAGAGAGTGAGACAGGTAGGGGTAGAGGGGAGGAAGCAAAGGTGTGAGGAATGGGATGACCATCCCATAAGTTTCTTGTGGGTCTCCACTTGTCATATATAAAATTCTAAACCTAGTGGATCAAAAACAACAGATAATATGGCAAAGTACAGATAGTGTTTTTCTACAGTCCTCATGTATCCCCAGGTTTGCATAAAAATTAAAAGGAAAGATGACCTGTAATGTTTAGGAGAAAAGACTGAGATCTCGCAATGCTATATTGCAAGATCTCGGCCACCATTTTGAGAGAGGCTGGTGGGCAAGGCAAGTGAGTGGGGGTGGAGGGGGGAGGGTTGCCAGATCCAGGCTGCTGCCATGTGACCCAGATAGGCAACTGGGCAGAAGAGGAGGAGGAGCTGCTACTGCATATTAAGCTATGGAAGCAAAAGTGGCAATTCTGCAGGTAGGTGGAAAGAGGAGGAGGCACAGCAGTTGTTGCCTCACTGCTGCTGTCATGAATCAGGTGAGTGGTAGCAGCACTGTAAGCAGGTGGGCAGGTGAGTGGGGGAGCGGGAGCTGCCGCCAAGCACAGGGGGAAAGGATGAGATTCCCCCCCCCACAAGTGTTACGGGACTCTTGCTTATTATATCGGATTCTGAATCAGGCCCTAGTGTGCGAATTCCTAAATCCATATATTAGGGCCACAGACAGGAAAGATCATTCTACACACCTGGGGGGGGGGAAACCCAGCTTTTAGAAGAATCTGGTTTTTAAAATAAAAATGGGGTATTACAACCTCTCAAAATAACAGAAATGAATGCCTCTGAGATTTTGTTGGCCAATATGGAAATTGCTAGGCAACCACAACAATATGTCTGCAACAACAAGTCTTGGGTTCTGTCAGTAAAAGGCAAGGTGAGGAGCAGGGCCCTTTCTATGGCTCTTTCAGTGTCCCAGTCCAACCCTTCCCCCTGCCCTAGAGGGGGGACTTATTAGGGCCAGGCCTGGCAGCACTGGGCAACTTACCTGGTCCAGCAGCAACCATCTGGTACCTCTCTATTACATAACAGCAGCCACCATATGACTGACCTGGATGACTGGCTACCACATACTTTTCACAAGCCACCCAGGTCCTGCAGTGGCTACCAGATGACCTGATGCCACAGAACTCACCTGGGCCAAGTAGCAGCCACCACACAAACTTGCACAACTTTGCTAGGCCTGCTGCTGGCCACCAGACAACATAAGCCAATGGAACATAGTGGCAGGAGTTTTCCCTCCTTCAGCGGTTATTTGGAAACCCTACTCACAGGGTTGTTGTGAAGATAAAATGGAAGAGAGGAGAATGATGTAAGCTGTTTTGGATCCCCATTGGGGAGAAAGTTGGGGCATAAATGAAGTAAATAATTCATAAAGCTGAAGCCTGGGAGGGCAGGCAAATGTTGATGGTTGGGAGGAGAGAAGGAAACAGGGAAGGCGGAGAAGGTAAGGTGTGATGTATGGGACATGGGTGGCTGCAATCAGCAATCAGCAATATCATGATGTCAGTTTTGGGGGAAACCTGAGTAGTGACAGGAAACTGGAGCTTGGGGTGGGGCATCCTTCACTCTCAACAGAGGCTTGGCTGGAAGAGAAGAGAATGATGTAAGCTGTCGGGAGTCAGGAAAAAGGGGGTACAGGGAAAGGAGGGCACAGGGGGAAATGCAGTGCCCCTTAGAAGTTCTTGCAGGATTCGTATATCTAACGTTTTTCAAAAAATTTCAATAATACTATGTCAGTAATGCTACTGCATATTAGGCTCTGAATTTACATAGGGAGTTCTTGATTACAAGAATAGGCTCAGAACAGACCCTTCAACACTGTATTACACCAGATCCTTATAAGTGTGATACTGTCATATTCTGGTATATCACTGTATCTAATAGTAAACTGGCTAGCCCTTATGTGGATGAAGAAAGAAGTAAAACCAGGCTACCCACAAAGAGGTGTTATCTCTCTCCTTCCATAAGTCCCCCTGTGTGCCAGCTATGGTTGCCACCAGGCAGCCATCTGCTTGCTATCCCACCACTAAAGGTAGCCCATCTGTCATTGACCAGAGCCTGGGCTTTCTCCATCATGGCTCAGGTTCTGTGGAATGGGCTCCCTGAAGAGGTGAGGGAGGCCCCCTCCGTGAAGATCTTCAGGAGACTTTGGAGGGGAGGGTTGAATGGGCGGCATCTTTTAATGGGGAAGGGGCAAAGATTTGTGGTTTGCAGTTTTATATCTTGAGCGGTGGCGCAAGTGGTTAAGACGCTAAACTGCAGGCCATGGAAGGTCAGTAGTTCAGCAGTTCGAGACCCAAGACGGAGTGAGCTCCCGTCTCTAGTTCCAGCTCCTGCCAACCTAGCAGTTCGAAAGCAAGAAAGTGCAAGTAGATAAATAGGTACCACTTCGGTGGGAAGGTAACAGCATTCCATGCGCCTTGGTGTTTAGTCATGCCGGCCACATGACCACGGAAACGTCTTTGGACAGCGCTGGCTCTTCGGCTTTGAAACGGAGATGAGCACCGCAACCCTAGAGTCGGATTCGACTGGCTTTCGAGCAAGGGAACCTTTACCTTTACCTTTTTTTAACTGGAAATGTTACTGTTATTGTAAGCTGCCTTGAATTGTGGGGAAAGATGGGACATTAATGGTTTAATAAATATATAAAAGAAGTCTCTCTCTACCCCAGGAACTCCCTAGCTGTGCAGAAACATATAACTTTGTAAGTTAGCCAAAAGAAGAACAGGAAAAGTGGTGGTGATATTGAGAGCACCTGAGGGGGCAGTTAAAAGGCAGAAAGTGTTCAAGTCTCTAGAAACTTAAAAATCCTGAAGGGGGGGGTTTGGGGTGGTGGGGCATTACTTCCAGACACTTATTCCCTTTCATGATCCTTCACAGCCCTCACAGCCTGTCACAAATATTTGCAGTTTAATCTTAGGACACTGACATATGAAGTAGTTCTCCTAATGTACCTGCAAGACATTCTTTTCTTGAGCGTCTTTTAATGTATTTTATTAAGTCTGTATTTTAAATTAATGTAAGCTGCTTAAGAGCAAACATTTGGCTAAAAGATGAGCTAACAATATAATAAACCGATAAATGTATGAGTTTACCTCAGATGCAGAAAGTCCACCCTGCCGTTCTGCATGAAAGAGGCAAACGTTCTAGACTCAAGCACATTCATTCAGACACAGACCTAATGATGCACCTTTCAGGTCCACAAAAAAGCAGGAATTTGGTTTTTAAAGAAAAAGCTTCTGAAAGGGGTAAAGGAAAAGCTAAGTGAGATCTAAGAGATCCATGATCAGATATCCTATTCCTGACAGTTTTAATTAAAACTAGCCTCTGCCTCATTCCAAATTCTTTGCTGTGGTTGCCGTTAAATAAAATTAAGGTCAGCAGGAGAGTCCCAGTCATGGATCTGTTGCATCTCATTTAGTTGCACCATAAGATTCCTAAGTTTCCTGTCTAAGGAATTTCAAATACTTTTTGCTCACATATTTTTGTGTAAGTATAATGGATCTCCTTTTTCTTCACAGGCCCTTCATGTTGCTGCCCCCACTTATGGAATGGATGCGTGTCGCTATAACCTATGCTGAGCACCGACGCAGTTTCACAGTGGACAGCGATGACATCAGGCAGACAGCCAGGCTGCTTTTACCAGGGCTGGACTGTGAGCCCCGGCAGCTCAAGTATGTGCTTTTAATACTCAATCCAAGATATAGTCAATTAGACTTCTGTTTACTTGATAATGTTCCAGCGTTTTAGTTGTATTTTAAATGATTGGTATTCTATTTATGATTATATGTTATGAGAGGGTTTAATTGTATTTTTATGAAATATCTATAAACTGCCCTGAGCCCACCTTGGTGGGGAGGGCAGGGTATAAATTAAATAAATAAATAAATAAATAAAATATAAATAAATTGAGTCTACCTCAATGATTTAATCACAAAGCGCTTCTTAGGAGGACTGTAGACTTGGTTTAATGGTGTGAGTGGCTGAGTGAATGAACACGGACTTGTTAATAGATTTTGCACCTCTGTCAGAAGCATTGCTGGGAAAAGAATGTTCTGATGTGTGAGCTAAAGCCTCAGCCTCGGGAACATCTTTTGCCTCTAAAGACTATTTCAGACATGAACCTCCAGTTGCCTTCACAAAAGCCCTTCATGGGGAAAGTACAATTCAGCGTTTGTATCAGTCATTGTACGTGGCAATTTTATGTGTGTCTGTGTAAGTCTTTGGCAGCATGAACACACACTGGGAAATCATAAGGGGCCCTGACATCCTAACACATGTACAGCATGTATGTATACGCAGGGGTCATTTCGTAGAAAAAGAGCTAGGGGGACTCATTAGCATAACTCATTAGCATATGCCACACCCCCTGACAACACCAGAAGTGTGTCCTCCCCACAGCCGGCGGCAACCTCCAGCGGGCACCAGCAGGGAGCTCCAGGCCCCGCCCTCCCGCACCTCACCCGGGGGGATGGCGTCCCCCCGCGTCCCCCCCAAATGACCCCTGTGTATACGTCAAAAATTGTGTATGTGTGATTATCACATAGGATCGCTTACTTGCAGACTGCACACGATTTCCTACACAGAAAAAATTAGGAATGGTTTCGTATTTGAAGCACTCCTTAGAAATTATGAAGGAGACACATGGGTGTTCTTTTATATACAGGCAATATATACAGTCAAAACAAATAGCTGCCTTCTGTGTTTCAATGACAATGTTGTCAATGTTCTGGTGGTCTGCAGACAATTGGCAGCAATCCTGGGCTCATGGAATGGGTGCCCTGATCTTTCCCCATTCCAAACTCCAAATGTTAGCAGTTGTATTCATGAGGAGATTCATTTTATAATTTATTACTACTCACTTTGCAGTGTTACTCATTCTAAATATATCCTGTGTATGATGGAAGGGATTTATCTAATAACTTTCTGTCAAGAAATAGTGCTGAGCATAGCACGGATGAGTCATTTAAACATCTTTTAGAGTGTTGATTTGTAAATCTATTAAAAGCTTTAGTATTCATAGAAGGAATGGGCAGGTATTGTGGAGATTAATCATGCCTTTTGATGAGCGTTGAGATTGTGAAATGAAATTACACTTGGGGAAAACATTAACATTCCCTCCTTCGCAGGCTTCGAGTCTTAAATGAACCATTCAAAAACTCTCGGCAAGACTTTTTTCTTCCAAGTCACCCTGTGTAATTAATCTCCTTTCTATATTAATCTCTGAAAGGCCTTGTGAATTTAACAGAGTACTACTTTCTCCTGAGTTTTTATAGAAAGTTCAGAATAAAAGCAAGTTCTGGGGGATTTCATATTCCCCTTCCTCCCAGCAACCTAGTGTCCCTCAAAACGTAGGTATCATTACAAATGTCCTCTGGGGGACAATCAATAACAAAAGTGAGAAGTGGGAAAGTAAACAACAAATAAAAGCAACAAATACCCATCTGCATAGGACCATGGAGCTGGGGTGACTGTAACTGAGATCCCCTCCAGGGCACCTGCGTATTAATTTCAGTTAAAGGGCCCAATTAGTGCACACACAAAGGTGTATGTAAAGTGAATGGGCAGCCCATGCATGGAAGAAAGGATTAGGTTGCAACTGTAGTGCAAACAATCCAGCAAAAATAAGACAACAGGATCCTCAAGTGGTTAGGTGGACTGAAGCTCTTTTCTTACAGGTAGTTTGTTCCCTCATGTAAAAAAAATCCTTGTATGTAAAATATCAGTACACCAAGAAGAAAGGTTTTACCTTACCTCTACGGTGCTAGATTTCTGCATGCAGGATTCTTTTTTTTTACATGGAGGAGTATTTAAAAAGTGTGATTTTCACTCACCAACAGTCCAAAATGGTACAATCCATTCTACCTCCTCTAATTTCTGGTAATTTATTACTGGCAGTTCTATGTATAAACCAAGTATCAGACATGATGATGAATAGTGGTGGAAGTGATATGAAATTACAGCCATTCTGTATCTCTTGTACATCTTGTTGTACTCTTAGTAAAATGGAAAATCAAGGCATATTGTAAGGAAAGACTGGAACTAATGCAATAATACTACACTCTTCACATTACAGCTGTACCGCTTTTGGTTATGTCCTCAACAGGCCTGAGTGCTGTTTTAGCTCCTTCCGGAGAATGGATGCCAAGGCAGCCACTGAAAAATTCCACCAAGATCTGGGGTTTCGAATGTTGAACTGCGGAAGGACAGATTTGATCAATCAGGCTATAGAAGTATTGGGTCCTGAAGGGGTTAACACGATGGATGATCAGGTATGTCGAGAACCATGAGAAATTCCTTTTCCTGGGCAAATTACTACCATAGAGGTAGATAAATAGAGCACATAGTAAGATGGTTCTGACAGAGCTAAACTAAATGGCAGTGTTCAACTACCTTTCCAGTGCTCGAGGGGCCCAGGCTGTTGCCCCCATGCTGGCAATTGATGCCAGTGATCCAGGGGAATGCTTTGTGTTGTGTCTTAGGGAACTGGGTGACTAAGAATTGAAACCTTTGGGCATCACAGAATCATTGCAGCAAGAAAATCCTTCTGCTCTTGCTTCATAGGGTTGCCAGCTCCAGGTTGGGAAATACCTGGAAATTTTGAGGGTGGAGCCTGAAGACAGTGGGGTTCAGGGAGGGGAGGGAGTTCAACGGGGTATAATGCCATAGAGTCCACCTTCCAAAGTGGCCATTTTCTCCAGGTGAACCAATCTCTGCCACCTGAAGATCAATTGTAATCCCAGGAGATCTCCAGCCACCACATGGAGGTTGTATCAATGTAAAGACAATTTCCTCCCATGAGCTTTCATTTTGACATACAGCCACCTGGAGGTTGGCAACCCTATGCATCAAATTCCAATCCTATGATGCGGTCTGCAAGTATTAGGAATAATTGCCCTAATCCAGGCAAGAGCTATCTGCAGGCTTCTGTGCTTCAGGCTGCTTCTAGATCAAGCTTCATGTGCACAAAACCGAAAGAGTGCTGAATAGGGGGAAGGCTTCCATCCCACACCTGGGTGTCGTATGAATGCTTGATAGTCCTAGGATTTGACTGGGACAGTTCATTTTTCACAGGGATTTTGCATCTCTCCTGTGCGTCATAAACAATTCCCTGGACTCGCATGATCCTCCTGGCCATGTTACTTAGAGCCAGCTATATGTGACTCTGGAGAGACACAATCAAAACTCCAGATGCCTAACTAGGGTCTATAAAGTAGCTGTGGGGACAGAGATATGGAACAAAGGTGTCGTGCTGGGGACATGGGAAGTTAACACTCTCCCCTGAGTCGTTTTCTTAATAAAAATGTTCTCCTTTATATGCTTTAGGCTTTGGCAAGGGAAAAGATGACAATAGACTTTCTGGCTCCTGACCAGGAGCACGTGAACACTGCTAGCTGCACTGTTTTTGCCTGATTTTGTCTCTCTAGTTTCAAATGCAGTTTTCTTTTTATTGCACTGAAAAAGTTTCCAAGAACATCTGTTGTTTAACATTTCAGAGCCATGCACTGAATAAGCTTCTAATAATTGAGTTATCCTTGGTTTATGTAATCTTTGTTTCACCTGTGGTGTTCCAGTTTTCCCTTTCAGTGCCCTGAAACGGGGGGGGGGGGGGATGTGGATAGACTTTACAAACACACACATGTAGGCTCACATAAGTATACTGGACATGATCCAACTGTTACACAAACTGCTCCCTGTACATGGGTACAACCTTTCTTAAGCAGAGATAGGGGTCATTTTGTAGAAAAGGAGGTGCAGGAGCTCATTAGCAGAACTCATTAGCATAACTCATTTGCATATGCCACACTCCCTGACATCACCAGAAGTGTGTCAGAAGGCAACACCCAAAGCTCAGGTTCCACTGGACTGTTTTGGATTGCTAGCTATTGGGGGGGGGGAACGTGCAGATCTGTCCCTCACAGAGGAAGGAGAGCTTGTACCTGAATCAAACCTGGTCTTAAAGGTGCCACTGGACTGTTTTGGACCGGGGGGACGGGGGGGGAGCTCTGCCGCTTTCCCGGTTGCTTCTTGCTTTGACTGAGGGCTGCTGGGAACAGGGGGTGGAGCTTGTTGCATGTGCCCGGGCTCTTTACTGCCGGAGCTCCACTCCTGTGTGCTCCTGCAGGAAATGACCCCTGAGCAGAGAGATATCCAATTCAAGACTAAGCAGTTAGTCCAGCAGAATATCATATGCACCCAGAGGAAGCTAGTACCCCATCTAGTCCTGTGTAAAGATACTTTGGGGGGGAGTAGCTGCCTGAACAGGGAATAAAGGGGAGAATGTAAAATATACTTGGCTGTCCAATGAGAGGGGGGGGTCTGTGATCTAGGATTTCTGGAAGATTATGGGGTGGGCAGATGGTCTTTGGGCAAGACAGAGCCCTTGCCTGGTTCCAAGCCAACGTCTGAGTCCCAAGGGTGGCTAAATCTAAACAGCTGGTGAAAGAACCCTTTTAATGTGTTATTATCTGTTGGACCATCAGAGTATTAATTTGGGAGGGGGGGGATACACTTTTTTGGTAGAGCAGAAAGGGAATGCTAAGGGGCTGACAGGGTGTGAAGACAACAGAATTAAAATGGAACAACAAAGGATTAGTTTAGGCTGCAGTAGTATGCCATGCTTCTCTGGGCAAGGCAGGATACCCACTTTCATTCTGGGTACAGCCGATTCATTTACTGTGCTAGGAGGGGAGTGCAGCATTCAAGGGTATGGGTGGAATGAAAGCCAATACAAGGCAGGCCTTTGATAGTAGGTGCCTCGGGACTCTCCTGGCTTGGCTGACATTTTATTTCCCCTGTATGTATGGCTAGTTTTATATACTTTCAAAATGTGGCCATTTCCCCTTGTTTAATACATCAGAACGACAAGATTCCAAAGGTGTGGGGCCTCCTGGGTGGCTTATCCCCAGGGGGTGCATTCTGGGCAACATAACCAAAGCTAGGCTGTGCAAAGCCCCATGATTCCAGTGGGAGACTTACGTGCAGGCTTAAGATCACCTCTGTGGAAATAAATGGGACTGCCATAATTTTTGGATTAGGCCTAAAGTACATAATACAAAGGGAATGCAGAAATACTTAGAAAGTGTGTAACTAGATGTGTGCATACATAATTCTCCTTCGCATGAAGCTATTGCATGGGATTCATCATTTGTAACTTGCTTGCTGCAACTTTTATTCTTAAAGGGTATGACTCCACTTATGTATGCCTGTGCTGCTGGAGATGAAGCCATGGTTCAGATGCTGATTGATGCTGGAGCAAATCTAGATATACCTGTAAGTAAAGGACTAAATCCAGTGACTTTGCTCAGACTTCAAACTAGCAAGAGCCATTACTAAATATGCCTCAGAAACACCAAGCATGTCTTTGTTTAGTTGGATGAGTTTTCTCTCTTATAAAATAATTTCATACAGCAATATATAAAATAATAAAATAATTTCATGCAGGTTCTACAGTAATAAAGCTTAAATCCCTTTCAGAGCCTGCCACAGATGAGATAATGATTAACACTGGCATGGTAATGGGGAGACTGGAGGACTAAATGTTTCCTCTCTGAAATAGCAGCATCTAAAGGAAACCAGAAGATGCATTAGAGAAGCCCAAGGGAATGAAAATACTGATTGGTGTTGGCAGTGCTCTCTGACTTGTGTCAGTCTGACACTCCCAGGGGTTGTAATTTACCAAGGAAGTGCCACTCACAGACATATTTGTGCAGTGTGAAGAAAAGGCAAATTTCAATATCTAATATCTTTCAACATTTCCAGGTTCCTGGTAGCTCTTCCCGGCATCCGTCAGTTCACCCTGACAGCCGGCACTGGACTGCTCTCACCTTTGCTGTGTTACATGGACATATCTCTGTGGTTCAGGTAAGCAAAAGAGAAGGCATTTAACACAGAAGAATCATCATATGTCTCTAATGTGAGAACAAAACTAATAGGCAGAAACATGTAGGCTCCAGAGCCATTTCAGTCTCGTGACCGGGCCTGAAACCAGACTGGAATCTGCTTCATTCAGTATCTCTGAAGTTGCCCAGCCATCACTCATTCAGTCACCTTGGTCAGGAATGGTACATCTGAGACTGAACAGTAGTTATTCAACTGTCCTGAGTCAGAGTATATTTCTTTAGGAGTAGATGCACCATTGCCTGGTTCAAGGCAGGGGCAATCACCTCCTCTCAGGGAGACGCTTACTGTCTCCTGGACCTGGTCCTCAAGCTCCCTGCCCAGGCCAGGAGGAGTAATGTTCATACAAGCAGGTGGTATGTCTCAAACTTCCAAGAATCCTGTCCCCATCCTCAGACTGGACAAGCTGAAAGGTATCCTACACAACTGGACAAACTGACACCCTGGTACCATCCAAATTGGAACAGATGCAAGGGATTTTTATCCACAAAGTATTTATCAAAATGATTACAGCATGCTGCAGAGCAGTCCACCTTCTCTTGTAGGCTGGATCTTGGAGTCGCAGTAGATAACTCACTGAAAATGTCGAGACAGAGTGCAACTGCAATAAAAAAGGCCAACGCTATGCTGGGGATTATTAGGAAGGGAATTGAAGACAAATCAGTCAGTATCATAATGCCCCTATATAAATCAACGGTGCGACCTCATTTGGAGTACTGTGTACAGTTCTGGTCATCACACCTCAAAAAGGATATTATAGCATTGGAAAATGTGCAGAAAAGGGCAACTAGAATGATAAAAGGGTTAGAACACTTTCCCTATGAAGAAAGATTAAAATGCTTGGGGCTGTTTAGCTTGGAGAAACAATGGCTGAGAGGTGACATGATTGAGGTTTATAAGATTTTGCATGGGATAGAGCAGGTTGAGAAAGAAGTACTTTTCTCCCTTTCTCACAATACAAGAACTCGTGGGCACTCAATGAAATTGCTGAGCAATCGGGTTAGAACAGATAAAAGGAAGTACTTCTTCACCCAAAGAGTGATTAACACATGGAATTCACTGCCACAGGAGGTGGTGGTGGCGGCTACAAGCATGGACAGCTTCAAGTTGGAATTGGATAAACATATGGAGCAGAGGTCCATCAGTGGCTATTAGCCACAAGGTATAGATAGGAACTCTCAGTCTGGGGCAAGTGATGCTCAGTATTCTTGGTTCTTGGGGGGGGAAGCAACAGTGGGAGGGCTTCTAGTGTCCTGGCCCCACTGCTGGACCTCCTGATGGCACCTGGTATTTTTTGCCCACTGTGTGACAGAGCGTTGGACTGGATGGGCCATTGGCCTGATCCAACATTGGTTTCTCTTATGTTCTTAATAGACCCCTAACCACCCAAAAGAGTTTCACAGCTTACACTGTGTGGATGCCAATGATGGCAGAGAAATATTGTTTCAGTCCAGTCTCAACATTAATGTGGCATGGATTCAGATGGCCAAATTGGCCAAGTCAAAGTAGTCTGGCATCTTCCAAGCTAAAGTGAGTTGGTAGAAAGTAGTGGGGGGGTTGCAGCTGCATTAACTTGATTCTCCAGCAGTAATGTTGGAACCAATATAATCACTAAGCTCTGAGTCAGCAAAGATCAGCTGAATCCCATTGAAGGCAGGAAGCACAATGATCTTCAAGATCTTTGCCTTCCCAACCAGTATTACCTCTGTCTTGTAAATATCTCATTTCAATTTGTTCACTCTTAGCCATTTAACTACAATGGACAGTCAATGATTCAGGACTAGGGGTGTGCATTCGGCAATAGCCGAAACGAAACACACACAAACTAAAAATACTTTGTCAGTATTTTTGGGGTATCACATAAGCTGAAAACAGATCAGAGATCTGTATTCGGCTACCGGTATAGCTGAACCCCAAAAAGCCGATATTATCCAGCTTTTTTTCGAGTTCATTTACCATACCGAAAACAAGGTCTTTAAACCTAACAGCCAGTCAGCTGTTGGGTTTGACTGCCTTTCTTTCCTGAGATCGGGGAGGGAAAGAAAGGCATGTTTGTACGTCTGCCCTTTGCTTCCCCAGCCAACCCACTGTGGCGGGTAGGCTGGTGAAAACATGCCCCCTTTCCCTCTGGTGGTGTATATCAGATCCGAATATATTCGGGAATACCGAATATTTCCCCAGTCCAAATACTTTACCGGTATTGGACGGGGGAAATTCGGCATCCCTGATTATTCTTTCCATTAGGAAGGCTCATTTTGCTTCTATAAGATCTTGCTGTATTTTTTGTTGCATCACGTCTGGAGTACTTCAGCAGATGTTCATGAGCTCTCCCATTTTTAGCCTTTAGTAGAATGTGCAAAATGTTCTGGTTTCAGAGAGTTTTGACTAAGAGTTAAATGGGGTTTTTAGAGAGCAGTTTGGATTTTAGTTTAAAAAAAAAATTGGCCATTTTTCTAATGGGGGGGTGGTGTCTGTTAGATATTTTCTGTAAGCCAAAAAGGTATGTTAGAATTTTTTTAAAAAATGAAGAATTGATATCCTAGTGCTTGTACTGCTCTGGCCTCTCCCCCCCCCCCATATCAGAATTGACCTTTACAATCACTTACTGTCAGGCTATCTCAAAGCAAATACCAGATAATACCTTCTGTTAGGATCAATCAAACTGGCACAAAAGAGCATGCAAACCCTGAACTTTCCAGAACTCTTCATCAGGTGAGGTATTTTAAAGGGGGAGGGAGGAAAAAAGAGGGATGTCTCAGACCCCTGTATGAAAATCTGAAGATGTATGCAGATTTAAACTGGTTCTGGTGTCAGGTTGCACCCTTAGTCTTCTAGGAAGGAAAAGCAAAGAATTCCCACAAAAAATTAATGATTGATCAAATATCACTCCACACAGAACACACAGATGCCTCAGAAGACTAAGATCAGAGGAAGAATGTATATTCCTTGTATTAACAATCCTGGAGATTCATTTTAGCTGGTGTAGAAGATCATCTAGTTACGTTTTCTCTTCCCAGCATAATAAATAGGATGTTTTCAGTGTGATCCTAAGCATGTTTAAATAAGTACATACAGTACATGTTAGCTTTCATGCTTCTTTTTTGCCTGTCTCAAGGTAATGAAAAGTATGAAATGGTTTCTTGGTGAACCAATTTCTGTGAGCTCAGTAAATACAAGATGGTGTGTTTACATATTCAAAACTAGATTGGCATCTTAATGAGATCCTAAAGTTGCACAGTCAGAATCTAAAAGCAGTGATTGCACACTATTGAAATGGTTTTTAATTTGTCATTACAAAACCAGAGTAAATGGGTCTTAAATTCTCCAAATGCATCAGATGCCTTCTTGTGCAGACCATATTTCTTAGCTGACACTGTTTGTTGTGGTCAAAGGCTATGTACAATTAGAATTTATTGTTTCAGTGTAGGCTCTCTGCTTTAAGGCCGATAGGAATTAAAAATGAACAATAGCAGTGTATCAGTTGGGAGCAGAAATAAGCTGTTTCTGTTCACATAAGTAGCAAGCAATTGCAGATTGTGTGCATTCAATATTGCATTATACATATAGGCAAAACGTCCATGCAAATTAGAGTCCTCCTTCAAAGACTTGGCCTCTTGCCAGGGTACTCTTGTACTGGAAAGGTCAGGCACACTTAATTTACAGTTGAGATAGTAAATACATTTTGCCCCAGAGACACAGCTGAGAATCTTGTCAACACAGCCCCTTGGAAGGAATTAAGCCTTGATCTCTCTAAGTGACATTTATGTTAACAACAATTAATGTTTACTCACTCCCTGTTATTCAGATATAAACATTTAATCTTTGAAAATCCAATCTCCACACATCTACAGTGACATGTGGGAATTAATCATACTATGAATTCTTATGTTAAATATATAGTCGCTAGATCTGTGGACACACAACCTCAGATTCTGGTCCTTTTGCAACTTGCACATGGCCGCATGATGAACAATCAATCAGAAGAACAAAGCAAAATGATCCTTTTGAGGAGAGCATTCACTTTAATTTTTTTCCACCCGAACGATTGCATGCTTTAAGATATACCTGGGAAAAGCCAGCTGCACAACAAGCAGAAATGAAGGTGTGCCCATGACATCCCTAGTGATGAGTAATACACTTGCCTTCTCCCTGCCTCCTAGAATGGGAGCGATTAGGTGGGGTATCTGTATCTTTAGAGGCTTAAAAATACATTTCAGAGAAGAAGCATAGGATTCAATCCTGCCTATATTTCCACAGGATTTGCCAATTCCCCCCATCTTGAGAAAGTGCAAAATCCCACCCCCAAATGCTACTCCAGTGAGACAGAAGACCACCAAGAATAGCTGAGGTGGAGAATCAGATATCTCCCACAGAAAGGTGAATCAGCAAAAATTGTTTCCCCTTGAGCCCCCAAAATCTAGGCAGGATAGGATTGCCAGCTCTGGGTTCAGGAATACCTGGAGATTTGAGGGTGGAGTCTGGGAAGGGTGGGCTTTAGGGAGTGAGTGACCTCAGCAGGATATAATGCCATACAGTCCACCATCCAAAGTAGCCATTTGCTCCAGGACAAGAGGAATAAACGTTTAAAATAAATAAGTATTAAATACATAAGCTTTGAATGTAGTCTGGAGATCAGTTATAATTCCAGAAGACCTCAAGCCCTCACTTGGAGGTTGGCAACCATAAGGTGTGACCAGGCCACAACTTCCACTATCATTAATGTACTAGGAATAAGGCTCGTTGTAGAAATAAATACAACGAGCTCTAGAAAGAGGCTCTGGGAGAGTGCCCCGCCTTGGGCACTCAGCATCAATTTGGGGTATGACTCAGAGTATCATTTTTTCCCGAGGAACTGATCTCTGGAACTTAAAGAGCAGTTGTAATTTTGAGTGATCTCCAGCCCTCACCTGGAGATTAGCAACAATGGTTCCCCAGGAGGAAATGGCTGGTTTGGAGGGTGGAGTCTATGGCATTGTATCTGTTTGAGGTCCAACCCCTCTGCAAACCCCACCCTCTTCAGGCTCCACGCCTCAAATCTCCATGTCAAGAGATGTCAAGAGAATTATTTCCCAACTTGGAGTTGGCAACCCTATTGCCTTCCCAGCTAACCATCAACCTATCGTTATCTGCCCCTCTGACTTCAGCTTTCCATCTCCTCCCCCTCCCAGCGAGCAGTTGTAATTCTAAGGGATCTCCAGCCCTCACCTGGAGATTGGCAACAGTGGTTCCCCAGGAAAGTCTTTCTCTACAATGGGGACCAAAGCAACTTACATCATTCTCTTGTCCCCCTTTTGCACAACAACCCTGTGAGGTAGATTAGGCTGAAAGTCTGTGACTGGTCTAAAATGACCCACTCAGCTTCCACAGCAAAACCTGGGTCTAGCAGACCCTGCTCTGAAGTGCTAACTGCTACACCACACTGGCTGTGGTATCACCTGGTATCACAACTGAACTCTAGACAACACTTTTTTCTCTCCCCCTGGAGAAAATAACTGCTTTGGAGGGTGGTCTCTATGGCATTCTGTTCAGCTGAGGTCGCTCCCCTCCCTAAACTCTGCCTTCTGTAGACTCTACCATAAAATATCCAGGAATTTCCCAACCTGGATCTGGCAACCCTAGTCATTACTGGCCCCAATGAGTTTTCTCCCAAAGGCCAAAATAGGCATAGAAAGGATCTCACCACCACCACCTTTTACTGACAGAACCAAGCTTGATTGCCTAGCAACAGGCACTGAGGGGAAAGTAGGGTTGCCAGCTCCAAGTAGGGGAACACCTGGAGATTTGGGGGGGCGGATTCTGTGGAGGGCAGCATTTGGGAAGGGGAAGGACTCAGCAGTGTCTAATGCCTCTAAAGCAGCCATTTTCTCCAGGGGATCTGATATCTCTCATCTGGAGAGCAATTGTAACAGTGGGAGGTCTCCAGGTCCCACCTGGAGGAAGTCCCCCACCTGGGGGAAGTCAGCTGCACAGCAGGGGATTGAAGAGAATGGTTTGATGGCCGCTGGCCCACCTCAGTAGCCAGCCAGCCATGGCAGAACCAAGCAGGAGAGATAGCCATTTTCATATTTTATTCTGACAGAAAAGTGGCCAAGCTGGCAGTGGGTGGGGGAGAGGGTTACACTGAAAGTCAGTGACTGGTCTGAAATCACCCAGTCCACTTCCACAATAAAAACCTGGGTCTGGCATGTCCTGCTCTGAAGTACTAACTTCAGGGAAAAGTTAGTCCCACAGGAGCCAAGCAGGAGAAGTATCTTCATCAGGAGAGACAGCCGTTTGGCAGTTATTCTGACAGGGAACTGTGGCAGTGGGCGGGGAAGAGAAGTGGACCTAGCACCCAGCCAATGGCACTCAATTACTCTTGAGTGGTGGTTGATGGGCCAATGGCTGATGGAGCGCACAGCACAGCCAATGGGAGAGCTGGAGATGGCCAACATGTCAAGAGAATTATATATATATGATTATCTGTACACCGTGACATCGATTTGCAGAGTCTCATAAGATACCAATAACAACAGATTTCTGCTCCTAAGAAACTAGTGATTCAAATTCAACAGTGAAGAGAAGATAAGAAGGAAGGGAGGGAGAGTCTGGGGGGGAAATGAACAAGTGTAAGCACATAAGACGTGCTGGTTACAGTTAGAGGTGAGGCAGTTAAGTGAAAAGCTTCACCAAAGAGGTAGGTTTTGAGGAAAAATTTGAGTGGAGAATGGTTGGAGAGGATGTTTCAAGTATGGTAGCAGGCGGGGAGGACAGGTGTAGTTACTTTAAAGCTGGTTTATCATTTCCAGGAACCCTTCCAAGACACTTCCTTGCTGCCATCTTGTCTTGTAAGCAGATGGATGTATTGTCCTTCTGATGGTTCACTTCCATGCATCTTAAAAAGCAAGAGTGTCTCTTAGAGTTTAAATGTTTTTAAAATGTTTAAATAGTTCACAAGAAAGGAGGAAAAATAAGTAAAAATAAGGGGGCGTGCTATAAATTTGGCTTCCCACCAGAACATATCGGTTCTTGCTGGCTGCTCCATTTTGACATGTTTGTTGTTGCTGTGATTTTTGCAGCTGCTGCTGGATGCAGGAGCCCATGTTGAGGGCTCTGCTGTGAACAGTGGAGAAGACAACTACGCTGAGACTCCACTCCAGCTGGCTTCAGCAGCAGGCAAGTCTGAACAAGCATTGAATTTTCACTCCCCAGAAACTGAAAAAGAAAGCAGGAGTTTCTTCTGCAGAAGAGAACAGACCCTCAGTATTACATCTAATTGTCTGAAACATCCTTTTATGTGCAGCCTGATTTCAAGGTGTCCAAGCACACTAAGCGAGAAGGAACAATATGTTCAAAACTGCCCAAATATATCTGGGTTCTCCCCCCCCCCCCATTATTTCACACTAATGGTTTTCACAATATTGTTGATGAGAGTCCAGTGGGACACTGTAACTATGTTATCTATTTATTAGTTCATTTCTATTCCACTTTCCTCCCAAAGGGACCCAAAGCTGCTTACAGAAATGTAACTTAAAGAAATAAGACATACAAAGAAAATGAATACACCTTGCGTGGGTCCTAATGCAGTAGGCTGGCTATTGTAGGCCCCGAGCTACAAGCCATGGGCTAAGAACATTTCATCTCTTGCCCTTTAAGTCATACCTTCTGAAAGAAGAGGGAAAAAAACAAAGTTGCACTGTGTGTGCAACCTACCCTACACATTTAAGGTAATGTGCACTCCAGATGTATGCCCAAATGCCTGATTTCTGTGATTCTTTCCTCCTTGACTAAAAGGGAAGGATTAGGGAAATCAGGTATGTCAGCATACAAAAGTATGTATCTAGAGTGTATGTCATCTTGTACATGTAGTGAGGGCTCACACAGTGCTTGTGCCCTGTTCTGTTTGTACCTTCCCCCTCAACCTGCCGAAAACCCTCTGCCTCCACATTGAGCAGAGAAGAATAAAAAGAAGGTAGACCCTGACATGTTTAAGGCAAAGCCATGTTATTTATGTGCTTGCTTACATACTGCCATGAATTTTTGTGGTGAGTTATAGAATACAAGAATATGGATCCCTGACTCAAAGAGCTTACTATTGAAAATATAATGCAGAAAATACAACAAAGAAAAAAGAGGTTAGCCAAGGCAAAGGAAGAATATACACAAGAAGAATACCCATTTGTTCCAAGTCTGGAGTGGGATGGGGACTAAATTGTTGTGCCAGTAGCTCCATGGAAAAGATGGTTTTTGAGGCAGGATTTGAAAAAACCAGAGAGTTGCGTCATCACATAGGTATTGTGAGAACCATTCAAGCATGAAGGGCAAGGGAGACAGGGCAGAATCAGTGAGGAAGCAGGTGATCTTTGGTAGCGGAGAGTGATAGAACTGGAGGAACGGAGACTCTGCATGAAGGAAAAGAAATATCAGAAGATGGGAGCAGAGCACTAGGGAGGGCAAGGCCATGGAGGGCTTGGAAAGATAAAGAATTAAGCATTTTCACTCCGGAAGCCATTGCAGGAGGTTGTCACAAGATTAGAGCAATGTGACAAGTGGCTGATTTGTTCACAGAATTCGGGACAGAGATGAGGGAGCAGAGGTGCAACAGTAGCAGGCCAGAGAGCAGGGAGGGTGCCAAAATCAAGGCAGGGGGTGCCAAGAGTATGATCCAAAATTTTCACTGAAAAGGCACAGTTTTTTCAGTTTAGTCAAGGTAGGAAAAAGTGGCGTGAACAGACAAAACTCAATATAAGTGGCAAAGAAGAGACAAAAATAAAGCTGAGAGTGCATGCCTGTTTCATAGCATGGATAGTTAATGGGTATGGAGAGTAAATGAGAAGAGTTGGGTTTTGAAGGAAGGGTGTGAAGATCAGTTTAATATGGAGTTTGAGGTGGCAGGGAGGCATCCAAGGGGATATACTGGATTACATGGAGGTAGACACTACAGAGATAGAGGAATAGAGCTGGGCTTCATCAGCATTCAGGTAGCACGGAAAACCATGGGATTTCAGGAGGCCACTTGAAGACATGATGTAGGGGGACAAGGACATATTTCTAGGAAACTTCAAGAGAAGGGAAATGGAAAAATAGCTTCCCTTGTGGAACATTTGAGTGACTAGACAGGTAGGAAGAGAATCAGTTGAGGGCAAAGCCAAAGAAACCTGTAATGCAAATGAAGTCAAGAAACAGAGAATGTTCAACTGCATCAAACACAGCAAAGAAATCAAGGAGAAGGATGAAATATTTTGGATTTGGCAACAAGGAAATCATCAGTGGAATACAGAGGAAAAGAGCCAGATAGCAGAGGATCAAGAGAGGACTTGGAGAAAAGAAAGTCGACAGCATACTCTTAGTTTGAAAGCAAATGGTAAAAGAGGAATTGTGTGGTTGTTGGGAGGTATATGAAGAGATCAGTCTGGTTTTTTTATAATAGTGTAGACCAGTGGCGTACCAAGGGTGGGGAGGGGTGTGTGCCGCACCCCAGGTGCAGTTTGAGGAAGGCCCTTGAAGGGAGCCCTTGAAGCCAGCGTCATGCTGTGTCCAGCTGTACATCTTTTTAAAATGCAGTTCTGACTGCAGCCATTAGGGGTGTATGGAAGTCTTAGCATAGCAAAATGCACTCTATGATCAGCTAGACTTCCCTTTCTCCAAGACTGAAGCAAACTTGCTTAACAGATCATACAACCAAGCCAGCATGCTGGTAGCTGCTACAGTAATTGCCAGCCTGCAGATCATTTTCTCTAATAGTTCAGCCCTTTTCACTTCCTTTCCTTGCACCCAGCTCAGCCAGATCTTGCAAAGCAGTAGTTAGTGTTGCAGCAAGCTAAAACAACCTTTCCCTCTCTTAATTTCTCTCCCTCCTTTCCACACGTTTCACATTCATTTCTGTCTCCCTTCACCTAATTTGTCTGTGTCCCCCCCAACCTCATTTTTACTTCTTGATCTCCAGGCCTTCTCATCCCTATCCTGTTTGGTGCCAGAATGTATTTAAGAGTAGTATAGTAGCAAACCTTTGTTAATATCATGAAGGCACTGGTTTTGCTTGTCAGAGAAGAAGAAGTGATCCATGCATCAACGTCTAAAATAATAGTTAAGTGAGTGAGTTGGGAGGTGGAGTCATAAATGATAGCAGTACGGGGGAGACAGCAGAAGTTTAGAGACTGAGAAGCTCTTGGGTGGAGGTTCGGGCAGGGATTGAAACTTGCACAATTCAAAAAGAGGAATATAATCACTGCCAACATGCTCATTAGTGTAAGGTGTGTGGAAGAAGGAGGGACCTCGAAACAGAAGACAGCAATGCTCTGGCAGTGCCAGGGGAGGAGAAGCCAGGTTTCAGAGAGAAGAAAGCATAAAGGGTTGTGTAAGATGACTGTTTTCTGAACAAGCAGTTTCAGAGAGAGCTGGAAAAGTGGGGGCAAGGAGGGGAGCAAGCAGCAAATGGGGATGAGAACTGAAGGAGGAGGGTGCCATGGCAAAGAGCATGAGCACCAAAAGCAGGAAAAAGAAGGAAAGGGACTGGGGTAGGTTGACTAGATTGGGAAGAAGTGCTGCACAGAGGGATGAGTGACATAAGAGATGCCCTTTCGGGGGGGGCTGGTGTGATGGTTTGCAGGTGGGGGGGGATTTAGTGCCTCTACCAGAGGGTGACGATGGAGACACCAGGGCTGCTTGCGTATGATGTCACCCTTTGTAACATGCCAGGCACTGCTATCCATTCAGCAGCCATTTGCTGGCATAGTGCTGCAGCAGGTGTCCCAGCAGCTCCGTTGCTTTCGCCTGCTGCCATCTGGTAGAGGCACCCCATCTCCTTCCCCCTTCAGTGCCAATCATTACCCATAGCAATAGTTCTCCCAGAGAACCGCTATGCAAGTCGCGTCTATGCTCCCCTTCTCCAGTGTTCAACAGCCATGAAGGCACCCCTTAATTGGATACACCTTTTCTAATGGCACTAAGGTGGCCCTACTACCTAGTTCGAGCCGCAGGTGACTCTGGGAGGTGGTCAGAAAGAGAAGGAAGGCCTTTGCAGCAAAAGCAAGAGCAAGTACAGGTAGGCACACCTACTTGGCAGAAGAAACCTGGAACTCTTGAGCTGATCTTCTGTGAACCAGTGGAGCTGAATTCACCACCGCCACCACCACCCCGGGCCCACCCACATTCCTTCCTAGCAGGCTGCTTTTCAGATACAAGAACCTACCGTCACAGTGAAGAGGACTTGGCAAGCCTGCATGCTGCTTTAGAATGGGAAAAGGGAAATAATCTTTATAAACGAATGTGTCAATAAATGAATGAATGGCCAGTTGCTCTGTTACATCTTTTAAGTATATAAGAAGCATCCTTGCTTTCTGTCAATTGTTTTTCTAGGTAACTATGAGTTAGTCAGCTTGTTGTTGGTCAGGGGAGCAGATCCACTCCTAAGTATGCTTGAAGCGAATGGGATATCCTCATCACTTCATGAAGACATGAACTGCTTTAGCCATGCTGCCGCACATGGGCATAGGTAAGCCTCTTCCTTTGATCCGCTGACTGTAAGGTGCCTCACCTCTGATCTCCCTGGAGACCTTTTCCTGTTGTCTCCTAATGGAGGAGGGAGGGAATCTAGGGACTCACCTTAGACTTAAAAAAAACCACTATTCTGCAGCTTCTGTATATATGGCAGCTGGTCTCTAGGGCAAGACGGCTCCAACAGGCTCCAACAGTCTTTTAGTTCTTGCTTTTGCCTGTCCTACTTCAGAAGCCTCTAACTGCCTTGAAGCTTCCCTTGAACCACTTGCAGCTGGCCTTTGAACACATCCCCTCCAAGGATGTAGTGCAAGATGCAACTGTGATATTGTCTGGGTAACTTCCAGGCATGGCTACCATGACATAAGTGCTGTTTGTTCATTCATAGTTAAGGTGCAGTGATGTGTGTTTTTGTTACTGCATAACACTCCCTTGCCAGCAGTCTTGACAGTAAGAATCATAATGTTTGTTGTTTGGTTCACATTACTGCAGGTAAGTTGATGCAAAACTTGCTCACACAGACTCACAGTCTAACATAAACGGACAGTAAGGATACAGAAGTAACAAAAAGAAGGGAGAGGTCTGCCCTTCACAACACTGTATCAGCAAACTTTGAAGTTGAATGTGGAAGTGGCATGAGGTGCAATTTAAGGTGGCAGATTTTACACAGTATCGCTATCACAAACAATAAATTTACTTTTTTTTTCTTTTTTTTTTCATTGGAAGCATGCTTGCTATTAGACCTTTGGGGGGAAAGACAGGAAATCTGTCTTTTTCCTCCACTGGGGCAAATAGCTGCTGAAGGGACAGTTTCTATTCAAGAAACACAATGGGAAAAAGGGTTAACAGATATCTCCACACACACTGTGTTCCAACATCATGGCTGAAATCTGCTTTCCCCGCTCTACCTTGTGGCTCCTTTTAAACATAAGGAACTCAGATGTGACTACGAATCTTTTGTCTTGTTGACCCCTGAGGTATTAGGAAATACTGGGACTAAATGAGGTAGATGCTGTCATCATCGATTATTGCCTTTTAATACTTCCATGATGACATCTTCTGTTGGTAGGTTCCTTATTTCATGGGAGATAACTATTCTTTTGTGAAAAACTTGCCAGGAAGGGCCAAGGCAAATGTAAATCACCATGCTGGGTACAAAGAGGGCACCACCAAGCAGTAATGTCACAATCAATAAAAGTTGGCATGACTGTGTGGGAGTTGTTGTGGTGCTGTCAATAAATTGTTGGCATTGAACGAGGCAGACTTAGGTTTTGATATTTATGCATCTGTTTCCTTAGATCAATCAGTATCTCTCAACCCAAAAGAGCTGTTACAGAGATTAAATGCAATAACCCCTAAATAAGGAGTAGAAAAGAGCAGGAGCCCGCTAGTACCTTAAATTTTGTTAAGTCTTTAAGGTGCTACTGGACTCCTACTCTTGTCTACAGCTACAGACAGACAAACACGGCTACCCATCTTGCTGTGTCCCTAAATAAGGAGGTGTTAGTTATTTATTCCATCACAAAATAATTATAGACCTTACTCCTGCATAGAGACACATCTCAGAAGTATGTGGCTAGTCCATTCCTTGAGATCGGCTCTTTGGTGGGATAACCCACACAGGGCAGTATCGTTCCATTCTTCCTTCTTGCATCAGGTTACCTTTTCTGCCTGTTTCTCCTTGTCTCCAGGGGCCAGTGTTGGATTGGGTGAACTGGTATGACCAGGATTCCTATGGATATTATGCAGGCAGTGCTACCAAATGGTGATAAAACACACCTGCAGATACTCAAAAGTATTTGATGTTGAACTCTGCTTTTACCCATAATTTATCTTGCTGGCATACAAAGACTCCTTGGGTTTTTAAAAACACTTTTCTGGCACTAGAGCAGGAGACCCCAACAGGTTGCCCATAGCACCCATTGACATCTTTCCTAGAACCCACCAAGTGTTTCTAGAAAGTGGGCAGAGCCAGATGGGGCTTTTGCCCAGCAGAGCTTCTTATAGGCCACTGGGATTCAATTGGCTTTGTTAAACGGAGCATATCCTGAAATGTTTATTTAAAACATTTCTATGCCACCTTTCCATCCAAATCAGGTTCCCCAAGGGTTAAAGAGTTGTTACTAAAGTTATACATAATCTTGCTCTCTGACATTTTGTGATTGGCTCCTCCTCCTGCAGCAGCCATTTTTTGCTTGCACCAACCACCTTGTGTCAGAACTCCAAAGATCCCGCCAGGCTCAAAAAGGTTGGGGATGCCTGCACTAAAGGTTTACTAACCTGGACTGTGAGAATATCCTGGAATACGCTTTTTTACACTTTCTGGCAACATTTTACTAATTAATAATAGCTGTTGCTTTTCTTTTACAGAAATGTTCTACGCAAGCTACTGACCCAGCCACAGCAGTCAAAAGGAGATGTTCTCTCACTGCTAGAGATTTTAGCAGAAGGCGTAGAAAGTGATACTTCCAGCCAGGGAAGCTCCAATGAGGGCCAAGTCAAGCTGTGTAAAACCAGGATGAAGGCTTTGCAGGAAGCCATGTATTACAGCGCCGAGCATGGCTATGTTGATATCACAATGGAGCTCAGACAACTCGGTAAGAGGGAATCTTTACTGAACAACAAGTGCTGCCATCTAGCTTACAATCTCAAGACATGGGGGTCGCCCATGAGTCACTCCTCAGTCTGTAAACTTCCTTTTGAGACACTTAGTGCATTTAGACCACCTCAGACACATACATTAGCAGGAAAAACACTGGAGACTTATGGTACACATGTCTGACTCAGAGGTAGGGGGCACCCTGAAAACATTTGCTAAGTCAGGCGAGTGACTTGCAGGAATCCTTTTCACAAATTGTGATGTAGGAAGTACTCCTAATGCAGTCAAATTAGTTTTCACCGAACCATTGCAAAAGAGAGAAAGGCAAATTAACAATGCCAAATTCACATGCTAAGAACAAATTCTAGCAGGCCTAGTTTATCCTTGGGTTGTGTGTTCCATGGCCCCTCCCTTTGTGCAAAGAGATGAGACCCCCTCGTCCTAATTTGTAGGCAAGGGGAAAAAACCTGCCATGTTTCAAAGTGACTCGATTCAGATATGACAACAAACTTTGGTTTCTTTAAAACCAGACTTTATCTGCAGTGTTTGAGTACGCTAACATTTTTTCATCCGGGTGTCCCACAATCATGATATGGCATTTTAAGTGCTTGACACTGCAGTAGGGATGCCAGTCCCCAGGTGTGGGCGGGGATTTCCCCCCCCCCCGACAGCCATCAGCTGGCCAGTGGAGGAACCCCACCTCCAACAGTTGTCTGCAGCCCCACTTGAAAAGGGTGGGCACCAGTGTTCCCTCTAAGCTGAGTTAGTGTGAGCTAGCTCACAGTTTTTTAGCCTGCAGCTCACACATATTTGTCTTAGCTCAGGAAGGATGGCTTCAGAGCAAACTAATTTATGCAGTAGCCAAATTGCTCACTCACAGCTTTAATGCCAGCAGCTCACAAAGTAGAATTTTTGTTCACAAAACTCCACAGATTAGAGGGAACATTGGTGGGCACCACATGCACCTGCCCTGCAAGCGGCAAATCTGCTGCTTTCAGGGCAGGCAGGGGCCACCAGCTCCTGCCTTGCAAGAGGCTAGTTCACCTCTTGCAGGGCAGGAGCACCCAGTGCCAGCTCTTTCCAAGTGGATGGCAGCCGTCTCTTTCTTGCAAGAGGTGATTTTGCTTCTTACAAGGCAGGAGCACTGGGCACCTGCTCTTTCTGAGTGGGGGCTGCCAGCTCCTGCCTTGCAAGAAGCGAGTTCCCATCTTGCAAGTCAGGAGTACCTGGCACCCACTCTTTCTAAGTGGGGGGCAGCCGGCTCCTGCCTTGCAAGAGGCAATTTTGCCTCTTCAGGGAGAAGATGAGACCTGGCAACCCTATACTGCAGTCCTAAGCAGAGTTATATCCTTCTAAAGTCACTGAACTCAATGGGTTTAGAAGGTCTGATTCTGCTTAGGACTGCACTGTAATGGTACTAGACCATCAATGAACAGATAAGGTGTCATTTCTATGCTGCTAAAGTCATTTTCACCCCATTGATTTTGTAAGACTTCTCTGTGTCCTTGGATATGGTTCATGTTGAGATAGTATCACTGTTCACAAGTTACTGTGAACACACCTACACTCTATGTGTAGTGCACCCTTGATTTTTTATATGCCTAATAAAATTCATGATTCAAGTCAAGTTATGAAGCACAATAGCACAACATATTAGCAAGAGTAAATAATTATATCCTGTGCTAACCTTATATTAGCTCATCCATGATTGCTAGATTTCCGAGAGTTAATGGAAAAGATCAGTATCTGTTTGGGTTTCCTGATGGATGACAAGAAAGAGGTCCTGCTTGACTTTTTCCATGCAGTGTTGGACAGTGTAGATTCAGGTCCTCACAGCAGCAACTCATCTTTGGTGGTGGGACCCATGTAAAATTTTTAAATGATATGTTCTCATCTTTCTTATGCTCCCTCTTGATATTTTTTCTTTATGTCCAACTCACTATCTTCTCTCTCCCTTGGCTTAGTCATTCTTTTATACATTCTAACCAACAACAATAATAAAGGAATGATTTTACTGATGAACCCATGTAAGATCATGGCATAACCCATGACTTGAAACGTAATGAACTGTAGAACCTTTCTCATTAAATTGAGTTGTGCCTATTCTTATTCCCAACAATACTAATGTCATTTAAAACAAAGAAAAATAAAAGGTCTAATTCTCATGTTACTGCACATTTATCTAAGAACTGGTACCCAATGAGCACACATTGGCTGTTTCTTACAAACAGGGGTACACATATACATGAAGGTGGTATGTTCACTGCAACATATGAATAGGTAATATAGCTACAGGAATTTGCCGAGATTCATGGAACTGCTGTTGTGTGGTTCAGAATTTTACACTTATGGCCTTTCCAAAAACACTAGTACAACAAACATGCCTTCTTTAAAAAAATTGCCTGCATTTCTTCTTTTTCATAGTAACCCCCCTATTTTTCATTGTGTATCATTTGTTAGCATATTGTTCACAATACAAGAAAATATACTAAATAAGTAAGCACAGATTCAATGTTTCTGGAAATCCCTTTATACCTGTCCATAACCTGATTCATATGAAAGTTTTTTGGCTGCAGCAAGAATTTATTACAAGAAAAATGCGTGAATAGTGTTGTAATGAATGGAATTGCAACAGCCTGCCTGTGCTATGATTTCTTTTTACCCAACCCGTAAGGCAGGTTAACTGAATTTCACTCATTGTATAAACCTTTGGCAGGAAATAAATGAGAAATCTATCTTTGGCATTAACACAGTCTTCCTGAAATCAAGATTGACTTTCAGAATTGCCTGGGCACACATATATAAATATTCTTTAAAATTAGTTCTTAGAATTTCTGGTAGCTCCTTTCTTTCATCTTCAGGGGAGGAAGGCTGAAAACCTTGAAAAGTACATTTGTTGAGCACTAGAGCTTGACAGAACAAAAACCGATAGCACTGAATTAGCATCTCATCACAATCTCATTTTTGCTCAACAGTTTCTTGTACTGGAGAACATCTACAATTTTATACAAATGCCCTTTTGAATTAAAATTGAGTATCCTAGATAACAGGTTCTAGCTTTTTGACCAGGGGCAAAGGAAGATGGATATTTTGTACTTTCAGCAATTGTGTAGAAGAGGGAACGTTTGCAGTTTCCACTTTTATCACCCCCAGCTGACAAGCTGTATTAGCCAAAATTCCCTTCTATACACACCTCTTAAAACAACAAGATTTAGTCTGCATCTAGTCACCATGAAAGCAAACAAGGGTTTTTTTGGGGGGGGGTCCTAAGGAAATTTAAAAGCTGTGTTGTGGTGGCTGATAAAGTTGGTAGGATGTTAGCAAGTGCTCCTCCATTCACTTACATTTTAGCTGCTGCTCCAGCACCACTGCGCATTCCCTTGGGTGTGAGTGGACGTGCTCTGGGACATGCCCCACTTCTTCCTCCCAGTGACTGATCACAGCCATCCCTACCCCCTCCTGCATTAACATTCACTAGAACTTTTCAAGCAGGAAAGGGCCTCTGATCACACATGCCAGATGCATTTCCCTCCCTACTACTGCAGGAACTCATTAGCATAACAGGCCACATCCAGCAGCAGGAACGCATTAGCATATTAGGCCACACCCCCTGACCACACCGCTCATTATCATATTAGGCCACACCCCCATGTTACCAGAAGTGTGGCCATCCAGCCACACCCACCTTGTGCTTCTTACTTTGTTGTCAAAACCCAGGGCTTTTTTTGTAGCAGGAACTCCTTTGCATGTTAGGCCACACACCCCTAATGTAACCAATCCTAATGAGTTTCTGCTGTTGGGTGTGGCCTATTATGCTAATGAGTTCCTGCTGGGCGTGGCCAACTTGGGAGCCAGCCGGAACTCTGTTCCTGTGCCTTCCTGCCCAAAAATAGTCCTGTGAATAACCATGGCCATGTCAGTTGATATCCCAAGCCCAGACATTTTGAGGGTTACAGCAGAATAATAAACAAACTTGTACTATATTTGTCTTTCTTTCTTTGACTGCTCGTTCAGAACTGTTCAAATTTATCTTTAGAATCACACAAACCTGATGAGGAACTGCATATTTTGTGCAGAACTGCATTAGAAAGCCCCCTCCCGCCACCCTGAAATACCATTTTAAAAAAGAGAGCTTTTGAGTCAACGTCCTGATTGTTAGTAGTGTGTGGCAAAACTCATATGTTTGAGGCATCTAGAAATATTTGCTCAGAAAACACTGTTCTGGGAAGGCCTGTTTGGCGTTTATAGCACACAATCCTGCCTTATAGAATGGGTTGAGGTATGCCCTGATATGCATTACCTAGAGTGACATTATGGATAAATGTCCTCTGTTTTGTCTCACACCACTGCTGATAATGTCTGCAACAGTAGTCAGGGCCCATCACATGGTTATGTACCAATTAGGGTTTGTAAGGCCAGTACGGTACATACTTATTGCATAAATGGAGTTGCAGTCATTACCAGGAGCAGTGTGAGAAAATTATGCAAGTGGTAACCATCCCACAACACTAAAGGTATAAAAAAGACATTATACTCTTCCCGCTCTGTGAGTCCCTTCATCTTACACTGATATATAAAAACAGAAACACCAATTCAGAGGCAATATTCCTCCAATTATCAGGTGTTGTGGGCAAACATGGAATGCCTATATCCATCATAACCTGTGTGTTCCCCTGCTTTGTCCTCAGTGGAGGTTTCAGTGACAATTTAAATAAGCATACCGGGGGGGGGGTCCCCAAAAACTATAGTTGTTGCAAATTGGCTTGACGCAGAAAAGCAGCTTCTTCCTTTATTTTTACCATTGTTCATCCACAGACTTGTCAATAAGTTAAGCAGCTCCCCCCCCCTTTTGTCTTCCAATGACCCCAGGAATCCCATGGAAGCTCCACGTGTGGATTGAGTCACTGCGGACAACTTTTTATCAGTCTCGTTACTCAGTGGTACAGAACCTCTTGCGTGAATTTGTCACCATTAAGGAAGAAGAGTACAATGAGGAGCTGGTTAATGATGGACTGCAGCTCATGTTTGATATCCTCAGAACCAGCAAAGTAATCTTATTCTACCATTCTATGCAAATATCCATGACTTGGTGCAAGGAAATCTCTTCATTTGTTTCCAAAGCTCTATATATGCTCAGCAAAAATTAGTGTAAACTGCATGGGGATGCCAATTAATTATGGATGCAGGGATCACCATAACTGCAGTTTTAGTGCAACATTGGCAGGCCTCAGAAGGAAAAGCGCTTAAGGACAACTCCTTCCTAGCACACCCTCATTCTAATGGGAATTTAGATAATTTGCAGTAACTTGACACTTGGGATTGAGAGAGTTTGCTTCTCAAAGGGAGGAGAAGTGAGGGAAGGATTGCTATAACCCTGTCCGCACGGGTTTGTGAGTATACTGCATGCAGTTTGCTAAAACTGAAATGCCTACATTATACTTTACAGAACTAACTAGTAGCTTTGCTTGACTAAGGCCCTGGCTCCAGTCCAGCTCTAGACATGCAAAACTACTTGCTCTGGACAATTACCACTCCCAGACAAGAACAAAATTCGAGTCCAGTGGCACCTTTAAAACCAACAAAGTTTTATTCAAGGTATAAGCTTTTGTGTGCATGCACACTACCTTGAATAAAACTTTGTTGGTTTTAAAGGTGCCACTGGACTCGAATTTTATTCTGTTGCTTCAGACCAACACAGCTACCCACCTGAATCACTCCTGGATGAGTTCATGTCCCCATATACATTACCAAAAAAACCCAAACTTCCAACCAGTTCAACAGGCTCTAGATTCTGAGGAAATTTTCTGTGCATTGGCTATGTACTTGGAAGCTGCTTCCACGTGCAGAAGGAGTAGCGGTGTTTGAAGCTGCTTTTCTTAGCAGGATACTGAGGATTTGTGGCTAGGTTTAAAAATTATTCCCATACGCAAACTTTGAACTGTTTTCTTCAGAAAGCTAAATTTTAGCTTCCTGTCATCCATTTCTGTATAACTTGTAAAGAAGCCAGTACTTTCGCCTCCCAAAGCTTGGCCCTTTTGAACATCGTATCGTCATTCATTCTTCTTTTCAGAACGAGTCTATCAACATGCAGCTTGCCACTATTTTCGCCCACTGCTATGGAAACAGCCCCATCCCCAGCATTCCTGAAATCAGAAAGACCCTACCAGCCCGGCTAGGTAAGATGCTAAAACATTCCTCACTACAGGCTTTGAGACTGTTGTTTTTGTTTTGTTATTAAAACTCATTTTCGTTTTTCCCCCATTCCAGATCCTCACTTTTTAAATAACAAAGATATGTCCGATGTTACTTTTCTAGTGGAAGGAAAACTATTTTATGCACACAAAGTTCTCTTGGTTACTGCTTCAAACAGGTGAGATTCTTACTCTGGAAGTGCCACAGGGCACCTTTGTGGTGTCACTGAAAGGAGAATCAGTGACTCAGATCCAAATTAATGATTCCACAGGTGCAAGGACTTCCAACCATGCAGTATGATTTTCACTTCTGTTGGGGGCATTTTGAGCTCCTACAGAATGGGGAAGGTGAGAAAATTGGGCTCCATAGATAGAAGTCCTTGCACCTGCAGAAATGTTAGCATGGATCCAACCCAATGAGTCCTTCCCGCATAGAAACAATCACCATTTTAGTTTCTCACAACTGCAGATAGTCAGAACACCCTTTTAAAAGCAAAACAGAGACAGAACACCCTTTTAAAAGCAATTTTGACTTGGCAGGACACCCAAACCTGGATACAATTAAATACATCTACTTTACTTTTAATATTTTTAATTTCATTACTTATGTTGTTTTGAAGGGACTGAAAGTTCAGGGAAATGTTCTTTACAGAGGTCTGTAACCTGTAGTTCAATCCCCTCTTGGTTTTACATGAGAGGCTAAAACAGCTTTCAGATAACTTTTGGGGGGTCAACATACCAAGATTGATGGCTGAGTGTGAATTTGAATTATGACATTTCTCTTTTTGGTAGGCTTCAGTTTTGGACTTTTAGGGGCTTTCTAGTGTTAGGTTTTCAGTGTTGCAAACCACCTATGTGGATCAAAATAAACATACATAGAAGATTCTATCATTACAAGGATTTGTGAGTGAACTTTAGCCCCAAGATCTAGTGTTCATGATAGGGCTGCCAACCTCCAGGTGACAGCTGGAGATCTCCTGGAATTATGTCTGCTCTCCAGGCTACAGAGATCAGTTCCCCGGGAGAAAATTGCATTATACACTGATGAGGACCCTCTCCTCCCCAAACCCTGACTCGCCTCCACCCCCAAAATCTCCAGGAATTTCCCAACCCAGAGCTGGCAACCCTAGTTCTGGATTTTTGAGAAAGCATTTCTACATTCAGTAGAACTAGATGCTTCTCAGCCCCTGTTCCTATTTAACTTACATGAGGGTTTATGCCTAGTTGGTGGGATTTCACACACATGATTTTTCTCATCTTCTTCCACTTCGTTTTCTAACGGTTATGTTGGGTTTAAAGGAAACTCAGTATGCTTTTTCATTTTTAGAAATTTGTGAGTTAGAAGTGTACTCTGTTTCGTTTTAACCCAGGTTGGAGAATATTGCCAGTAAACCCAAACAGGGTTGAGGGAGGCAGGGAGAAATAAAAAGTGGAGGGCAAAAGTGTGTGTTGGGGGGGGGGCCTGCAGTCTGCTTCCTGTTCCTACATTATGGCTCCAGTGTTAAGTCCAAACCAGCTCTCAGTCACTCAGTTGTTGAAAGCAAGTGATTGCTGAATGGTAGCAAACCATGGCTTTGTCTGAATCCAAGTAGAGGGCCAGCAAGAAGGAGCTGTGGTACCAAATTCCAGGGGTTCAGGCCACACTGTAGTTTTGAAGAGCCAGGCATTGTGCCACTGGCAGGGGGGGATACTAGAAGCACATCTGTTCTACTCAAGCATATATTGTGTATGTTGTTCTGAGTGAAGGCAGGCGCAGTTTTGTCTGGGGCTGTATGGTGGGTCTCAGCTTCTCTGAGTGGAACGCTTTCCCTTACTGTATTTCCACAGTGGTAGACTGCACCTATTTAATTTCTGCCTGAAAGGCTGCTGTTAAACGCATAGAGCATCTGTTGAAAAGAGGCGACAATAAGACCTGTACAATGGAAGGACCCGTTTTTCCTTTAAGAGTTGAAAAATAATCTGAACATGAATGTAAATTTAAAAGCTCCCTGTGGAAATCTTCTGTTTTTACAGATTTAAGACACTGATGGCCAATAAAACAGAACAAGACAGCCAAGGTAGTAAGACTGTGGAAATTAGCGATATGAAATACAATATCTTCAAGGTATGTCTAACACACTGTCATTCTTTCCGTTGTCTAAAGCTGTAATGGGACCTGATTCAAACATCTTGCTGAAAGGTGTTTGATGTGTAGCCGCTTTCAGGCAAAGGGGGAAGGTGCATGCATGCCAGATAGGGTCACCTGCTTTTGCTTTTTTACCCCCCCCCCCAACAAGGGCTGAAAAGTAGCCCAGGTAAATGGATGAGGGGAATTTTATTATTTTTAAAAAACCTGTTTTCCCAAGCCATAGCCCCAACTGCCATCACCATTTTTAAAGTCTGGATTATATGTTAGAGGATCTGGTCGTGGATCACTAACCTTTTGAGGAATTTGGCCTTAGGTAGGTAAAGGTAAAGGTTCCCTTGCTCGAAAGCCAGTCGAGTCCGACTCTAGGGTTGCGGTGCTCATCTCCGTTTCAAAGCCGAAGAGCCAGCACTGTTCGAAGACGTTTCCGTGGTCATGTGGCCGGCATGACTAAACACCGAGGCGCACGGAACGCTGTTACCTTCCCACCGAAGTGGTACCTATTTATCTACTTGCAATTTCTTGCTTTCAAATTTTTGCAGTTACCATGCTCATAAGAGCTGCAGTTGACTGCTCTGTGATCTGCTATTTGCCTATGACGTGTGAGTTGCATGCGTGGCCAAAAACCATGTCACAGAAGCTATCCCCAAACACTCCTGAAAGTTCCCAGACATAACTTTCAAGCAAATTAAGTCTGAATAAAGTCAGAAAAACTTTCAGGCTTTATTTTAAATTAACACAAATGATTGGAAGCCTATGTTTACAAGTTTACGTGCCCTGTATGTGGCTTATTCTTGATGAAAAGGGAATAGAGTTGGTTTTGGCATGTAAATAAAATGAAGGGTCATTGAAATCCTGTAGTCAGAAAGAGTTCTTCCCCTTTTTCTAGATCTGTTGGGGCTAGAAGCCTGGAAGTGGCCATCTGTAACACTGGCACACAAGAATCAATTTATTTCCTGTCCCTTTTGTTCATCTGTCAGTCAAATATATTTGCACTTGGACTGTTAAAGCTACAGTTACATTCCTATTTGCAGTTTGCAAAAGTGTGATGCTATATTTTATGCTTGAAATAAGCTGTAATTGCTATGTTTGCATTCAGACTTAACTGGGCAGACCTGTCAATCATCCAAATTTGGATAGCTAAGAGTTTACATATAGATTTGCACATACTATTTAACTTGCTTAAATTTACATCATGGAAAAATCTACTAGAAGCCAAGTTGCTGAGTGACATAAAATGGGAGTTTGCATGTTTCCCAAGGTAAACCTGTGAGCTCATATTTCTCATTGCGCTGACTTTATGCCTATTTCAGATGCTGATGCAGTATTTATATTATGGAGGAACAGAATCTTTGGAAATTCCTACCACTGATATCTTAGAGGTGAGCATATTTTCTTCATTTGATTTATGATGCTGCTTCAGGATAGTGTTAATGATGCACCTGATTGAGCAATGGGTGCTTTGCCAGCACATTGGTCTACTCTTTGACAAATAATTTGAAACATACCTATTTAATATATTTCCAAATTAAATAGTGAATAATATAACTGCTTTATGCAGTAAGTATACGATGCACTTTATATCTCAGTGATAATAATAGGAATACTAAATTTTTAGAGTGAAAATTGGGATTATGTGGGGAAGGTCAGAGCAAACTCCTCCCCAAACTAATTTCCTAATCAGAAATACCCACCTACTCTCAATGCTTTAAGCCCTGGCAGAGAGAAAAAAATCTTATTTTGTGCTTAAATCCCTCCCCCAGACTTAAAGTAATTGTGGGGATGCGTCTTTGATCATGAAAATGTCACATTCCCCAAACCTATGACCACTTCTGTGGCTAAATCACCCATCATGGATCTCTGTGTAGCTCGGGTCTTACTTGAGGATGCATCATTGTTAGCTGTTATTCATAACGTACTATCAGTTTCAAAGGGTTTACTGGTCCTGTCCTCCAAGAAATTTATATTTTAAAGTAGACAGTGGGAAAGCAGAGTTAGCATGGCTTAGATGTGAGTAAGTACATGTACTTAAAACTATTTGGTTACCATTGGGGATGAGGATTCAGGAGTCATGCCAAAGGCCCATTGGAAAAGTTGCATTTTGGAAGAACTGGGATCATGTTTACAAAATGAGTTCCATAGAAAGCAGTGGACCAGAAGTGGATGCTCATGTAAGAATGCAAAATACTTTTGAGGATTTGCGGCTGGTGCAGTGGAGAGATAAGACAAAGAAGTAGAGTTGAAAAGTAGAGGGGAGCTATTTTGTCAAGAGTTTTAGAGGCAAGGATAAGGAGTTCATCCTGGATCCAGAAGAGGATGGGAAGCTAGCGAAGGAATCTGTGCATCACTAAGGAGGTGCATCACTAAGGCATGGTAAACAGTTTGGGCTGAACAATGAGGAAAGACTGAGGTCTGATAGAGATGATGTGAGAGAGGGAGATCAAAGCAGGAGATTACCACAGGGGGTTCATAATTTGGCAACAAATTGATCCTGGGGAACAAATGAGAGGAAAAACAGAGGTTGTATGTCAGGTGAGTAAGTTGAATACTGATTTTGTCAAGGAATATACCGAGTGACTAAAGTAGGGAAGGACTGGGTGGAAAGATTAATAGATCTGCCTTGAACATGTTAGAGATGAGAGTTAGACATCCAAGTGTACTGATGGGAAGAAATCTGCAGTAGAGAGCTACAACTAGGTGTCATCAGTGTATAGCTAGTGCTGAAATCTATGAAATTTGATGAGTACACCCAAGGAGAGGGCATGGAAAGACTGTGGTAACACACCAAGAACAGAAGGCAGAAAAGAGAAGAGCTTAACACAGCATAAATATTGAATAAGCAATATGGAAAATAGGTGTACACAGTATATTGGTCTGTCCACTTAGAGTCTCTCACAAGGGGGCATGGCTCAGTGGTGAAGCATCTGCTTGACACACAGAAGGTCCTAGGTTCAATCCCTGGGACCTCTAGTTAAAACAATCAAATGATAGGTAATGTAAGGCCCTGGTGAAGCCACTGTGAATCTGAGTAGATGATATTGACCTTGGTAGACCAATGATCTGATTTAGAATAAGGCAGCTTCATATATGTTCACTTTACTGTTCTCTTGATTGGCTTCCCTCTCATCTTCCTTAGTTGTTATCAGCTGCAAGCCTGTTCCAATTGGATGGCCTCCAGCGACACTGTGAAATACTTTGTGCCCAAACCATCAGCACAGAAAGTTGTGTCAACATCTATAAGTATGCCAAGGTAAAGGCCAAATTGTCTTACATTTATGTTCAGAAGCATTCAAACACTTTTGAGGTTAATAAGAAGAGCCCTGCTGGCTCAGACCAAAAGTCCATTTAGTTCAGTTCCTGTTTGCAACAGCGGCCTACTCGACACCCTCCTCTGTTACTTATCTCCTGAAAATATTTAGAGGCATACTGTCTTAGAACATGAAGACTCCATTTAGCTGTCTAATATGGTAGGCCACTTCACTGTTGCTTATGAGAACTGTTGCTTATGAGAACTAGGTCTTCCCTATTCCTAGATATTGAGATAACAGCAACTTACCCTACAATACAGGATTGTTGCAAGGATACACCCTGACTTATAATTATTATGATTAAATTACATATAAGGGAAGCTAATGACACATCTCCAGCATCATGTGTGATTTCATCCTTCATGAATTAAATGATAGGCCAGTGCCTCACCACAATATTTCTTCTGGCAGAGTTGCTGTGCCATGAAGAGCTGCATGACATGTAGAAATTCAACAATGGAAGCTTTTTTTTTCACTTGTTGGACTTCCTCTTAGCATGCCTTTATTATAATTAGTAAAATCCCAGCAATCCTGTCAGATGGCAGCTCCATCACAAATCAAGATAAGGGTCATGCACCCACTGAAAAGTTGTCAGGGGACTCTTGAGAACACAGTGGTACTCAGTGGGTGCGTTCATACGGGACATTTGCAACGGAATAGGTGCCGGTTGGAATCGGTGTACTTACTAGCGTTCACACGGCAAACATCTGCCTTCCATCCCTAACCGTTGCAAAGAGCTTTACACCGTTGTATTCTGCCACTAGGTCCCCAAGTGGTGGTATCCTGAGTACAACGGTTGTAATTGCTTTACCCCCCGTCTGATCGCTCTCCACCGTTGCAGAGCCACTTCCGTTCGGAAGCCTGAGGCTTCTGATTTTCACCCACCATTTTTTTAAAGGTCGGCGATATGCGCTTGGGCGAAGCTTCGCCCTGGCGTTTGTTTAAAAAAAGAAAAGAAAAAGTCCTTACTTTAACGTTTTGGAGGAGTCCAGGACTTCAGGGAGGCCAGTTTGGTCTTTAAACTTTAAAGGTCGGTCCTTACTTTTAAAGTTTAAATGTAAGACGGGGTTTTTTGCGCATGCGCAAAGATCGCCATTCTGTGGATGGCTGCCTATGCGCATGCTCAAACTGAGTTTTAAAAAAAACACACCAAAGCTCGCTACATGTGAATGGGCATACAGCGATGGGCTCCGCAGACAGGCGGTAAGTGTGATCACGTTTCAGCCGGCATAAACTGCACTGGTTCCAACTGGTACAGTTTATGCCGGCTGAAACGCCCCGTCTGAACGCACCCAGTGAGTGGCAGCAGCAGCAAAGGAAATCATTGGAAGCTCCTGCTGTATTCATAGAAGAGCTGTTCTCCTTATGTCGTCATATAACAGGCTTTCAAGGGGACATACAGTTTGGGGGGGGGTCCTATTCAGTGAACCCATTCGGTTTACAGTTCACTGGATCCCAGCCTCTGTAAACGTCTGTGAACTGGGAAATAGGCTGGTCAGTTTTCCTTCCTAGGTCATGTATATCATCTCTATGGGTGCTGTGGAAGGGGGAAATCATAAACTGCTTCCCACTGAACTATTTTTCACCGTATTTCTCTTCAAAGGTTTTTCTACCACTATCAGTTGCTGCACAGTGGGAGCACCAACCTTCTTCTCATCTTCATGCAAGGATACCAAAATGACAGTTATCCAATAGATAATGAGATAGAAGGAGCTGGGAGCCATGTACCCCAAAATAGCAAGCAGAAAGGTTATAAAAAAAAAACCTCTGGCATATTTCATTAACTGCCTTTTTTCCGAGGCATATCTCATATGCACAGGATTTCTTTGACTGCTAATACCATGTACCATCTGGTACCACTTATTGTGTAGCCATGGCGTGCCACATGGATTGCGCCCATACATAACAAAACAGGTATCATCTTGGCTGTTTCATTGACCAGCTGCTCTTTTCCTTTAAGAGTTACTTGACTTCAGCTCAACAACCAGCAGGCGATCACAAAGGGATTAAAAAGAAGGGGGACTTTTTAACCTCTTTAAAATATCCCTTAGGAATGGCCCTGCACAGGGAAACAGAAAGCATCCTTCAGACATAAGATTAAATATCCTCTTAACCATTTGCTACCAGTGTTAAGCCTTCTCATACAATGAAGCCATTAAAGATTGTAGAGAGAAGTGATAATTGACAGCTGTGTAAAAATCTCTTGCCCGCATCCCCTTCTGTCTTACAGATTCACAATGCACCTGAGCTGGCCTCATTTTGTGAGGGCTTCTTCCTCAAACACATGGTGTCACTGCTGGAGCAAGAGCCTTTCAAACAGCTCATCTACGGCAGGAACAGTAAGGTTCAAGGTCTGGATCCTCTGCAGGACTTGCAGTCCACTCTGGCCAGCCGGCTTCATTCAATCTACATCACTTCAAGGGTGTGACCATCAGGTGGAACCACAGTTGACTTCAAACTGCACCAGGCCGGGACCTTGCCAGCTCTGGCTTCCTTCTCTGGCTGATGGGGACACCTGCTTATGCCGAAAGAACTCCCTCCAAGAAGATGCTTCCAGATGCCACAATAAATTAATCTGAAAGCTAGAGGAAAGGAAAAGGGGATGTTGTTCATATAGTGATAAGTTTCAGCAGGCAGCTCTAAAATCAACATGGCCCTTTTCAGAAGTCCAGTATGCAAACATTCTTAGGGGTCAAAGTAAACACAATGCAAGGGATGGAGGAGGGAAAATAGAGGGGCAATTGCTGGGCCTCTCATTTTTTTAATAGCAGCTTTAGACGAGGCATAATAGGAAAGAGCGGGACTCCCACTCTCCCAGCGACCCATCTGTGAACTTCAAAGCAGCCACATGGAGCTGCTAAGGAGTTTCTTAGGTGAGACCTTAATCATGGATGTCTCACATTATGTAGGTTTGATTCCTTTAGACACTGGAGAGCTCAGGTGGGCTTATGGGGGCAGCTAGGACTGTCCAAAATGCCTCTCTGAAACATCTGCATAGACCACAATCAGTTTTTACTGTGGACCGTGCCTGTGAAAGGCTCTGGTGTTTGAAAAGTCAGTTTTTGGCTATTCAGGTTCGTCAGTTTTTACATGTATACAAAAACATGCTGCTTCATTAGGTATAGTAATAACACCAGATTGCCGCACTGCAAACAAAACTAGCTTCCCCTCACCTTTGCCAGTTTAGGCAACACAAGTTTGCTAAAGTGGTTAGACAAACCACTGTGTCTACTCAGATGACTCGTCTAATATCAGTGTTACCTAACAGAGTCTAGATTTATTTTCATCCATAATTACTCATTCTCAGCATTGGCCAACGGTAGTTACAGTGTTTAAAAGTCTACCAAAAAAAGGTAAAATTCAGGGCTGCCAAAAGATGGATGTAATTCCAAAAGTTTTCCTGGCAGCCCATTGTGATTGGTTTCCATGTATCGGAGATAGGGAGAGAATCCTGGTATGGTACCCGACATGTTATTCTGCTCAAGTCATCACAGCTGTGATAACGACACCATTGACTGCTGGGCAATGGAATAGATATCCAAAATTGTGCTGATACTGTTACGTATTAAGGGCTGGGACCTAATTTGACTGTATTGTATCTGAGCAATAATTGCCATAAACACTTCATCTCCTGCTTACACCTCAACACTCTGCTTACCCCTTGGCCACTGTGCAACAAGACACAAAAGCCACCCAGACTCCAGTTCTGCTTAAGATATACATGCACATCAGGCTTACATGTGCAAGACCCTTAACCAGGTTGGAAAGTGAGAACCTAAACCACCAAATAAGCATTCAGACGCGCATTAGACTGAGGAGTCAGTCCACCTGCACTGCTTTGCTTTGATTGGGAATCACAGTATAATGTGCATTCAAAAGGACAGCTTGTTTATATGCTAGCTAGCACAGCAGGACTGAGACATAATGTTTAAATCTATGCTAGAGTAAATTGTAGCCTTAGAAAATATTCCTATCTCCCATCCAACACATTGCCAGTGGTGGCTGCCATCTTTGCGCTCTGCGCAAAGAAATATTGAGGATGAAGTGTTCAAAAACTGAGTCACAATGTCATCTTTGCCAAGGCTTACAAATGAAAAATGCTGCTTCTGTGAAAGTTTTCTTGTTAAATGAATAAAGGAGAAAGAGAATAGCACACACAAAGGTAGAAGGACAGAGAGAGAGAGTGATAGAGAGGGAGAAGTTACAAGTGTTTTGTAGAGTTTCAGGGAAGATTCTGAAAGTAGTAGAAAGGTGGAGCAGTTGGGTATGAGTTTAAGTTTTAGAAGCAAAGGGGCAAGTGGGACAGTGCACATCAGTGATAGTTGGATGCAGCTTGCTAATAATGTTGGTAGGAAAAACAATAACAGGTTTAAAAGCAGTTCAGCAACAAGGAAAGCTGTCTTTGGTTAACTGTTACATTTTTTCCAAGGAGCTCAGGGCAATTTATGTGGTTCACTCCTCCCCCTCTTTAACCACAGGGCCAAGTAGGCATTTAAACCTAGTTCAACATGGTAACCTGACAGGAAAGAGGGGGATTGAACTAAACTGAAGGAAGGTAACTTTTCCCAAGGATCTAATTCCTAGTTGGACGATTTGTACCTCCATTGTAAAATGAACACAGCTTTAGCCACTTTGCACAACACACTGACATCCCACAGTACTGAAACATCACATAGGAGGGCTGCCAGAGTTTAAAAATTCTGCCCCATAGAAAGCCAGAAGGGGCCTCCATAGGCAGGATACTTTACTAGTGGATCAAGAGTAGCTTCACTGTTGAAATTGCACATGCACATCCATGATGGCTGTGCAAGTTGTTTGTTAAATTAATGCTGTGCACCTTCCGATCACTCATTGATAAAATTTGGGTCTGAAATACATATAGGCAGCCCTTTCCATTCTCCAGAAAAAGTCACAGAGATTCAAGATTTGTCACTAGGTTGTTTGGAAACATGCTCAAAGGTTGTATTTCTGGAAAATAATTTTCAAATAGCTGTTTCAGCTAGCTGTACAAAAAAAAAGGATAGATTCTGCTGTATTGCTGTAATATTGTCTGCTACATTAACTGTACATTAATGTTGTTCACTTTATGTAAATGTACCATATTTTATTAACAACATAACTTCGTTAAACTTTACAGATGGTATAAGATCAGTTATTTCCTCAGAGTTTAAGGAAGCATTATGCTACAAAAGTCAGGCTCTGCTTGCTGGGCAATTCATTCATGCATATATCTTAAGTTTTCTCCCGAACCTGTTCTCAAGCATGACTGTATGGATGGTATAGAATGCAGGCAAGCATGTTGCCTTTGGAAAACTGAAATTTGTGTGAAGCTGTTGCACTTGTTACATGGGATTCTGACTTTTTATATGATATTAACTTTAAACAAGTAACAGAGCTTTAAAGTTTACAAGTCATAGCCCCTACAACAGGTATAAACCACCTACACTTCTGCCCTCCTGAGAAGAAACTACTATTCTTTCAGTTGTATAGAGTTTAAGGCAGGCCATGGGTAGCAAGGATCAACTTTGGGGAGACTAGATGTTCATTCTCAGTATAATTTTGTAAGTTTAAGCTTATACTGTTGGGTACAAGACTTCCACATCCACTCTACTCCTACCATAAAACAGGGAGAAAGAATATAGTAATCATATTCTAACATAGCAGAAAAACAAATGCTCAGTTACTCCCATTACAGAGCTGAAAAAGCTGGGGGATATTGGTTAATACTACCCTACTTCACTGCTCTTTAAACAGAAGCTCTATCCTTTTTGACATATGCTTCCCTAGTAAAACGTGCTTTTGAATCTGGGGTTCTCTTTTGACTCATATGACTTCATGTATAGGGGTGTGCAAAAATGGTTTGGGGAGGGTTGGGTATATTGGATATCCAAAATATTGGTATTTCCTGATATTCCCAAATCCCAGTACAGTATTCATATTCAGGATTTTTTTTCGGGGACCATTATACTCAATGGGGAATTGAGATCTGAGGGTATATGGGAGTGTGGTGGGAGGCTGTTGGGGCTTTTTTAGGTAGAGGCACCAATTTGCCGCATAGCTGCTGGTGCCTTGGAGGAACCACCAAATTTCAAAAAGATTGGACCAGGGAGTCCAATTCTATAGGCCCCCAAAGAAAGTGCACCCATCCTCCATTGTTTCCAATGGAGGGGGGAAGCAAAAAAAGCAAGGGCAATAGAATCCCAGCAGAACAGAATCAAAGACCCAGAGAATCTCTGCAGTACAAACGGAAAATGGGGGGCATTTTTGCAAGCCCAGCAGAACCAGTGCCACTGGCAGTGCAAACCCAACAGGACTAAGGTCAAACCAGATAATCTCTGCAGTAGAAATTGAAGGTAGTGGGGGGGGGATTTTTGCAAGCCTAGCAGAACCAGTGCAATGTACAAAGTGCCCAGCAGTAACAGTGCAATCACAGAGTGCCCTGCAGAACCCAGTGCCATTTTGGCAATGCCAGCTCAACAGGACTCATGTAAAATACAGAATCACAATCCAAGCAGGGTGGGGAGAATTGGAAGCCCAGCAGAACCCAGTGACAATACAGCAGTGCAAGTGAAAGAGAACCAATGTCAGACCAAAGAATCCCAGCTGGATGGAGGGGGGGTGTTGTTTGTATGTTTTTGTTCTGCAGAAGCAAGGGCAGTAGAAACCCAGCAGAACACTCAGAAGTGCAGGGTGGGCAGGCACTTTTGCAAGCCCACCTGAACCAAGACTGATACACAGAAGCCCAGTAGTGTTTTTCTTCCAAAGCCAAGGACAAACACAGAGAAAACGTATACACTATTTCCTCAGGGAAGGCCTCAGAAAGTGAGAAGGAGAGGGTTGTGTCCACCCTGACCTCTCTCAGCAGTCTGCAGTACACACCATCACTGCTTCAGTGGACCAGTCTTAGGTGCTGCAGCTGCCCTTCATCATAGGCTGTCCTTTTTCCACCTCCCACCCCTGCAAAGACGAATGTTTCATTGCATTACATATACAATTAGCTTCATTATTTATAGTGCTCCTGCAGGTTCTCCTGGTTTCTGTTTGGCACATAGGTCTCTCTATCCTCCTCTATCAGTTTAATCTCCATCAAGATGAAGAACAGTTTTTGTGCTGCTTTTTTTATTTCAGCATGCAGTTTTGGTTTGGGGTGGCTGATGACTCGGTAAGTGAACTTGTGAGCACCACCTTCAATATCACCCTGTGCTGCTCTGCTACTAGGGTTCCGTAGAGGCATTTGGGAGCAGGTGGATCCAAAATGGCAGTGGGGAGGTGGGGTGCTTCTGCACCAATCCAGTTGGGTAATTGTCCCATTACTTCTTCCTAGTCTCATTTTAATTTTGGGAAGACTGTTTCGCCCCAACTTCCCAGCACAAACTGAGAAGATGCAGGCAGGGTCAGGTGCTCACTTCAGTCACCCTCAAAGTCCTGAACCATGGCAAGATGACCTTCAGGAAGATCAACTGCTCAACTTTCCAGAGGAGCAGGAAGGCAGGAGTGATGCGAGCTGACAGTGTTCCCACATAGGAGAAAACATGCTCACTCTGCACGCTTGATGGAAAGCACAAGAGGAGCCTCTGGCCCATGGCAAAGAGGTCTGGCCAAACAACCTCCTTCATGGCCCAGTATCTCAGTGGATTAGTGGTCTGCAACTTGTAGGGCTCTACAAGCTACTCCCTCACCACTGCAGCCACCATATCCTGTCTCATGTGCCCACTGCTCCCAGAGGGGCTGAGTGCCACTGCCTGCCCAATTTGTTCCGTCTTCAAGGTCATCGTGGCAGTTGCCATAGGGGGGAATGATGCCCAGCAGGGGATGAACAGCAGCAGATTTGCTTTTGCCCCCCTCTTCTTCTGCTCATGAGATGCCAGCATTTCTGGAGGAGATGCCTGAAATCACAAGTCTCATCGTCCAGACTGGGATTCTCTGCAGAACCCATCACCAAGGCATCCCTAGCCACCAGGTGGAGAAGATGTTCTGCACACTAAATGGACCTGACACCCAATGCCTGTGCCGCTGCCCTCGTGTTCGCACCACCATCAGTAACCATGAAACTGCAGCCTCAATCTGCAATCAGGGTTGCCACCTCCAGGTTGGAAAATTCCAAGAGATTTGGGGGTGTAATTCTGGGGGATCTCCAGGCCCCACCTGGAGTTTGGCACCAATAATCTGCATATCACTGCTACAGCAGCAGTCAAAGCAGAGGCCTCCTGAGAGGGCATAGCCTAAGGCAAAGCCCAGGCTGGATTTAGATGCAGCCATGGCCATTCCACTCCCAGACTGTTTCCAGATTTCCCAGCAAGTGCCAACATTCTTGAAATAAAATTCGAAGGCCTAGGATACTACAAAATTCTGTTAGAAATGTTTGTTGGCATTTGCTTGACACAGAAGTCACACAGACCTTGACATTAAGCTCAAAGGCCCAGCGTACTACAAAATTCTAACTGAAATGTTTATGGGCATTTATCGAACACAAAGCGTTTTCATGCAGCCTCTTCAAACCCCTGCAAAGATCATTCCTGGGGTTGCAGGCTCCATGCATAGAATGGCCAGATGAGCCAGCAGGTTGGAGTGAGGATGGACAGGGGGATGCTGCAATTGGCCCTTTTCTTCAGCAAGGCTTTGCTTACAGAAGGGGGAGAAAGATCAGTTTCAGCCCCTTGTCCATCCTCACTTCACATCTCCATCACCACCATCACTGTTTCTCGACTCAGGCCGCACAGCCTTGGGAATCATCTTTGGAAAAGTAGCTGCAGAACAGAGAAAAATACAGGAATATTCCTTCCATACACAGAGTGGTAACATATGCACTGTTGGGTCCGTATTTAGATGCCATCCTTCCTCTTCAGAAATGGATAAGGTTACCATCTCTTCACCTGGGCCTAGAATTTTCCCATAATTCTAACTGAAACTCCAGACTACAGGAATCCGTTCCCCTGTAGGGAACGGCAAGTCTGGAAGGTAGATGCTACAGCATCACATCTTGATGAGCTCCCTCCCCAACCTAACCACCACCCTCCCCTAGCACCACCACAAATCTCCAGGAATTTTCCAAGCCAGAGTTGGTTACCCAAGAAAGAGGGGCACTATGCAGAAAGCCTTGAGATAGGGGAGAAAAATAAAACTTGCTTTTCCATCAATACAGGGTCCAGGTAGTGTTTGCCAGCTGACTGATGGCAACCAATGGGAGGTTTAGGAGGTAGGGTTATGCAAATAAGCATTGTGGCAATTTCCTGTGGGTGAGAGGGTGGAGCCTGATGGTAATTCAGGAAGTGATGCCTGAAAGTTTTGGATGAGACTGAACTTGGCAAATGACGGAGTGGGAGCAACAGGGGGGGAAATCTGCACACATACCTGGTTGAGTATATTCACCCAAATACCTGGTGCTGAGCCAGAGGTAAGCCTACTGATTGAGCACGGAAAACAAATACTTGATGGCAACCTACCTTTTTTTCCTCATTATCCTTTGCCAACAAAAGCTTTCTCCTCCTTATCCCATCACCATGGTCAGAGTGCCATCCTGCCTGCTGCAAAAGAATAGTAAAGTCTATTCTCCAGCTCAAGGGCACCAGCTCTGCAACATCCCCTTCATGACAAGTACTTCTCTGACAAGTGAGGAAGGTCCCACCAGCTGTCAAAACCATCGAAGTAACTTTGAGTCAGTGGAATGATCATGCTGACAACTAGGTCACATCACCTCCCACCACCCACTGAGAGCTGCAGCAGTCACGTACAGCATCACCATTTCACGCCAATTAGCCAGAGCACTCAATCATGCCAGGCAAGGATCATGGGAGTTATGCTGGACTGATAGCTTGCCTTTTACCCCTCAAAGATCACTCAGCTGCAAATGTGCTCTGAGCAATGGGGATTATTGGCCACTGAGGTTCTTAATGGGCATTGTCAAAACATTTTCTGTCAATCCTTTTAAAATGGTCAGTTCTGAACATGGGAGATGTAAGAACTCAC